GACCCCCAGCCCCGCCCCACCGCACCCCCTCCCAGCCCTCTCCGGACCCCAGGAAGGGGTTGCCACAGCGCCTGCAGCTGCGCGCCCTGGGGGGGCAGCTGGGCAGGGGTGGCTGGTTAAGGCTCTAATGCATGGAAACCAGCGGCAGACGGAAAGTTCAGAAGGAAATTAAGATAGAGGCATGGGCCCAGAGCGACTCAGCAGGAATTTTGGCCCTTGCTCTCTCCCACAGGTCACCAGACTCCATGGCTGTCTACTCTAGCAGGTTTCTAATAAAGCCATGTGCAGCGAAGATCTGAAAGCAAGGAGACCACCTGGCGTTTGATACGTGTTGCAAAATGTACAGGATCCTGGGTATTTGGGGACGGCATTGCTGACCGTGTTTCTGTCCCCCTCCCCACACTCCTGCCTCTGTGGGCGTGGATGGCTTTGGAAATCCGCCCTGTTGAGAGGCTCAAGCAAAGCTGAATGAATGTGTAGTCTGGTTAGCAGCTGTAGATGGTGCAAAATGGTACAATGAAAAGAACTATTATTAACTGAGCATTTGTTGGCAGGCACTGTGCAAAACGCCTTACATGTGCAGCCTCTCTAATTCTCATAACAAACCAACGTGGTGGGTATTATTCTCCACTTTATTGATGAGAAAACAGGCTTTGATGCTTTAGACACTGCTTGAGGTCACACAATAGTAACTGGAGTTCAAACCACCCCAAAATATATCCTCTCAACTAGTACACGGGGCACACCCAGAGATCTTGTCAAGATGTAGATTCTGATCCAGTGGCTCCAGGACGGGCCTGAGGATCTGCATCTCCAATGAGCTCACAGGTGATGTCCATGCTGTTGGCCAAGGGACCAAACTTTCTAAGTTTCTTCTTGTTGATTGATAGCAACCTCCTACAGGTGGGTTAAGAAGGTAAGTTTCTCCTTGCCTGCCAGCTCTAGTTGATTGATAGCAACCTCCTACAGGTGGGTTAAGAAGGACTCCAAGGCTGTGTCTTGACTCTTGGGCAAAGGATTCTGCAACCAATTAGCCATGTTCACTTTGGTTGATGGGGGGAAGGCTGAGACAAGTGTGCTGGATGTCCATCCCTGCAGTAGGCCACTTGGAAAACAGCATGTTTGTTACAGGAGAGGTTAGAGTGTAAATTTTAAGGTATTAATACACAAAAGACAAATGTCCTCATTCCTGTTCTTGCCTTCATTAAGAAAACCTTAAGTCAAAGTACACCTAACATTTGTACAACACAAAACACTTTACAAAGTGCTCACATGAATACTGATAACTTCATAACAACACTGTAAGGCAGGTCTAATTTCACTTTACAGGAAAGGAAACTGAAGTAGAGTGATTTTCCTGAGATTAGACAATTAATATGCACGCAGCAGAGGCCAGGTTGTGACAGGTCTCTAGTTCAGGGCTGTTTTTCCTTTACCACTGTATTCATTTCCTACTGATGCTGTAACAAATTACCACAAATCTAGTGGCTTAATACAACATAAATGTATTATCTTACTATTCTGGAGTTTCAAATCCTGAAAATAGGTCTTACAGGACTAAAGTCAGAGTCAGCAAGGCCATGCATTCCTTCTGGAGGCTCTGAGGGAAGAATCTGTTTTTTCCTTATTTGTGTGTGTGTGTGTGTGTGTGTGTGTGTGTGTGTGTGTGTGTGTTTCTTCCCAGCTTCTAGAGGGAGCCTGCACTCCTTGGCTTGTGACCACATCACTTTAACCTCTATTTTTATCATCTCATTTCCATAAGTCCCAGTGATTAGGATATGGCTATTTTTGGAAGGTCATTATTATGCTTTCTAAAACCTCTCTTAGATTTATCCTATAATTTCGACTGTGCCTTACTTATTCTTCTCTTCTGCTTGATTTCTCAGACTTCTGGGAAGTTATTTCAATGGAAAAATTTACTTGAACGTCATTAAAGAGGTAACAACAAATGTACACTGACAAGAAACACTCCCTAGGTCATGAAAAGGCCATCAGGATGCATGGGATTATAGTCCTGAAAAGGGCACATGGGATTAAGAGCTACTTATTGGTCTAAATGACACTGAGGTAATCCTTAGGGAAGTCCTAACCACAGTGAAAGGTGTTTGTTAGCAATATTACATAATTTTTCAAAATTTGCTTCTCAAGGATTACACTGCTCCATGACAAGTAAGGCAATTCAAAATTCATGCAAAATTGATTATATCACCAAATTCCAGAGTGAGAGTTTCCAAAGTGATGATGAACCTAAACCAGTGTGTCAAACAAAATCAATAAATATTATTAAACAGCCTTGATGCTCAAGGTACTTATGGACTCTCATACAGAAGTTTATCCTTTCATTGGGGACACAAGATTTGTGAAAAAATGAAATCATGCAGGACTGAAAGAGAAGAAACAATAGGAGAAGCGACATGGGATGGTACATGATTTATTGCCAAGTGAATTATATAAAGTGAAAATTTTATTTGCAAGTTACATTTATATGGGGGAGTAGGGATAAAACTGGAAAGATAGGTTGAAAGGTCATGTTATGTCAAGCTAAGAAATGTCAAGCTAAGGAATTTAGACTTAATCCTCAATAATAATAATGATGATACCTTAGGTTCACATAGTGGTGAGTAATTTAACAAGCGCATTCTACATATTTTCAGTCATTTGACTTCCTCCCTTCTGCTGCCAGACAAGCAGGCAAGGGCAAATACACGGGGAAGGAAGTACAAGGCACTTCGCAAAGAGATTGTCTTGACCACTACGTTCTTGTAAAATAGCAGATCTCCTCCCCACTTACCTGCTATTCCTTCTATCTTCCTTATCCCACTTTACATTTTCCCCACTGGACTTACTTCTACTTTTTGATAGAATATATGTTTATTGTAGTTCTACTATAAGGACAGGGACTTTGTCTCTTTTGTTCAATTGCCTAAAGCAGTGCCCAGCACTTGTTAAGTGCTCAGTAAATATTTGTTGAATGAACCATTATCCCCAATTTACAAATCAGGAACCAAAATGCCAGATGTTTAAATGACCACAACTATGTCCTACAGCTGTTAAGGGCCTTTACCAAGACTAAAATCCAATGCCTTTTTGATAGTTTCCTTTCTGAGTGAAGTCTTGTTTAAACAAGGGCAAGAGTGTATTTTAAAAAGATAAGAATTTGAGACTAGAATCTGCTCTAAATGTCACATCTTTTCTGAAAACTTCACCAGTTTAGCTGCATTGGCAAGAAGCAGTGGCAGCATGGAGGTACCAATAGGAGATTCTGGAGGGCTGCCATCAGTTCTACGCTAGTTGGCACTGAGTAAGTGTTTTTTGTAATTGTTCTCCAATTATTTTGTTGTGTGACACTCTGTATTATAGGACTTTTGGACTCAGAAACCATAACTTCTATTTCTTTTATATCCCTGCATTCTGCCCAATACTGGACTCTAAATAGATAATCTGGGCATAGTTACAAGATGGGGGCCATCTCTCTAAAAATCACACCCTTACAAACCACATTCAAGACAGTATAGGAAGTCCGAATATGCCATCCCCAAATATGCCACCTTGGCATCATGATTATTCTGAGATGGAGGCAAATGAGATTTAACAGATGCAGAAAGACGCCTTCTTAGAGCTTCCCTTATCTGACTAAAAGCAGGAACTTCTGAGAAACTAGGACAGCCATAATCCTCTCTTCCGGGGAAGATGGAAATGAATATGGGTCTAGAAAGAAATCTTGTTCAAATAACCCATGTCTTCCAGTAGGTCCCCCTTCTCACAATTTGCCACCCCTCAAAGCCTATACCTCTTTCCCTTCATCTTATCACTTCTCTACAAGTTTACTGTTCCTTGTTAAGATGCTATATAAGCCCAAATTCTGACCACCCTTTTGAGTTACTCATTACTTAGTTTCTCTTGCATCTATGTAGGCTGCTCATGTTAATAAACTCTGTTTCCTTTTCTCTTGTTATCTTGTCTTTTGTCTAATTTGTTATGCCCTGATCAGTAACCTAGGAAGGTAGAGGGAAAAGGTGTTTGTTTGTTTGTTTATGCTCTACAATAGGAAGGAAAGAATTCCAGCGGAAAAGGGAATCTCTATTTTCTTTTTGTTCATGAAAGAAAAAACATTTCCCAGAACTCACTCTCCCACTTCCAAGTCATTGGCCAGAATTTGGTCACCAAATCACTCAGGGAGGCTGTGAATGTGAGCACTTAGCAAGAAGGAATGGATTTGCCATGATTTTTCTAGGCTAGACATCCTGGTGCCCCAATCAAGACTGAGGTTCTATTAAGAAGAGAGAAGAAAGGTAGGCTCTAGGACCGGGGTCCTCAAACTACGCCCGCTGAAAACATTTATCTGGCCAGGGGGTGTTTTTGCCGCTGCTGCCTGTTGCTTAGCAGCCAACTCGGCCTGCCCGCAGTGCGCATGTGTGGAATGTGCGCCGCACTCTCCGACTCCCCTCCTTCTCTCTGTCTCTCAACTCCTCTCAGTCTCAGGTGTGATCG